TGTTTTGATTTGCATTTCTCTGATGGCTAAGGATGTTGAACATTTCCTTAAGTGTCTTTCATCCATTTTAGATTCCTCTGTTGAGAGTTCTCCATTTAGGTCTGTACTCCATTTTTTATGTGTCCTTTTAGTGTTCAAATTTCTTGAGTTCTTTGTATATTTTGGAGGTCAGACCTCTGTCTGATGTGGGGTTAGTGAAGATCTTTTCCCATTCTGTAGGCTGTCGTTTTGTCTTGTTGACCGTGTCCTTTGCTTTACAGAAGCTTTTCAGTTTCAGGAGGTCCCATTTACTAATTGTTTCTCTCAATGTCTGTGCTGCTGGGGTTCTATTTAGGAAGTAGTTCCTAATACACCTGTGCCAATGTGTTCAAGTGTACTTCCCACTTTCTCTTCTATGAGGTTCAGTGTGGCTGGCTTTATGTTGAGGTCTTTAATCCATTTGAACTTGAGTTTTGTGCATGGTGATAGATATGGATCTATTTTTATTTTTCTACATGTGATATCCATTTATGCCAAATTTTATAATTTATATGTGTGTGTGCGCGCGCATGCCCGCGCTTTGCCTGCATGTATGTCATGAGTGCCTGGTACCTGAGGAGGTCAGGAGAGAGTGTCATTCCCCTGGAACTGTAGTTACAGAAAGTTGTGAGTAGTGATATGGATACTGGGAATTGAACCCAGGTCCTGTGGAAGAGCAGCCAGTGCTCTTAACTCTGACTCATCTCTCCCTAGATGCAGTTTCCTTTTCTTTCTTTTTTTCTTTTGTTTCAATTTAGGAAAAATTTTACTTTTCTCCATGCCTATTTTTGTCTATATCGTACACTGAATATATGTCTATATGAATAACATTTAAATTTTCCACAATGAACAGTTGATTTTCCTGTAGTAATCTTTGAAATTTTCAGGAAGAATATGGGGCCCCACAACAATGACTCCACCTGGTTTAGAGGACATCATGATGCTGATAGCCCTACTATAAGACCAGTTTTGGGGTACCAGCTGCTGAAACGGTGCACCTTCTTACAACATTCTGGCCAGAACTCCAAATAAGAACTTCAGAAAAACCCTACTGACTACTCAGAGAGCATTTTCAAGACAGCAATCTTGAAACTTAACCATCACTTTACTTTTTTAGGATCCCATAGAAAGAACATTGCCCCATGACAGCTGGAAGCAATTCTAGAAGACAACGTCCCCTCTCCCAACAATGTTTGTCCTCAGGGTTAAGGACACCATTTAGGGGTTGATTATTATTTGTACAGGGTTGAAGGTTAGGATGGAAATTATGTAGGCCCAGAGATCGCCTTAAAAAAAAAAAAAAGAGGGAAGGGCTGGAGAGATGGCTCAGAGGTTAAGAGCACTGACTGCTCCTCCAGACGTCCTGAGTTCAATTTCCAGCACACACATGGTGGCTCACAGCCATCTATAATGAGATCTGGTGCCCTCTTCTGGACTGCTGGCATACATGGAAGGAATATTGTATACATAATAAATAAATAAATCTAAAAAAAATTTTATACAATGGAAAAAAGAGAGCATCTTCAACAAATTGTGCTGGCAAAACTGGATTTCAATCTGTAGAAGAATGAAAATAGATCCATGTCTGTCACCATGCACAAAACTCAAGTCCAAGTGGATTAAAGACCTCAATATCAGTCTGAACACACTGAACCTGATAGGAGAGAAAGTGGGAACTACACTACAACAAGTGGGCACAGGAGACCGCTTCCTACGTATAACATCAGCAGCACAGACAGTAAGGGCCTCATTGAATAAATGGGACCTCATGAGACTGAGAAGCTTCTGTAAAGCAAAGGACACTGTCGCTAAGACAGAAAGGCAACCCACTGACTGGGAGAAGATCTTCACCAACCCCGCAACTGACAAAGGTCTGATCTCCAAAATATATAAAGAACTTAAGAAACTAGACTGTAAAAGGCTAATCAACCCAATTATAAAATGGGGCACTGAGCTGAACAGAGATCTCTCAACAGAAGAAGTTCAAATGGCCAAAAGACACCTAAGGTCATGCTCAACTTCCTTAGCGATCAGGGAAATGCAAATCAAGACAACTTTAAGATACCATCTTACACCTGTCAGAATGGCTAAAATCAAAAACACCAATGATAGCCTATGCTGGAGAGGTTGTGGAGAAAGGGGTACACTTATCCATTGCTGGTGGGAATGCAAACTTGTACAACCACTCTGGAAAGCAGTGTGGCGGTTTCTCAGAAAATTTGGGATCAACCTACCCATGGACCCAGCAATACCACTCTTGGGAATATACCCAAGAGAGGCCTTATCATGCAACAAAAATATATGCTCTACTATGTTCATAGCAGCATTGTTTGTAATAGCCAGAACCTGGAAACAACCTAGATGCCCCTCAATTGAAGAATGGATGAAGAAAGTATGGAATATATACATATTAGAGTACTACTCAGCAGTAAAAAACAAGGACTTCTTGAAGTTTGCAGGCAAATGGATGGAAATAGAAAACACTATCCTGAGTGAGGTAAGCCAGACCCAAAAAGAGGAACATGGGATGTTCTCACTCATATTTGGTTTCTAGCCATAAATAAAGGACATTGAGCCTACAATTCGGGTTCTTAGAGAAGCTAAATAAGAAGGAGAACCCAAAGAAAAACATATAGGCATCCTCCTGAATATTAACCTTCATCAGGCGATGAAAGAAGACAGAGACAGAGACCCACATTGGAGCACCGGACTGAAATCTCAAGGTCCAAATCAGGAGCAGAAGGAGAGCGAACATGAGCAAGGAACTCAGGACCGCGAGGGGTGCACCCACACACTGAGACAATGGAGATGCTCTATCGGGAACTCACCAAGGCCAGCTGACCTGGGTCTGAAAAAGCCTGGGTTAAAACAGGTCTCACTGAACATAGCGGACAATGAGGACTACTGAGACATCAAGAACAATGGCAATGGGTTTTTGATCCTATTGCATGTATTGGCTTTGTGGGAGCCTAGGCAGTTTGGATGCTCACCTTACGAGAACTGGACGGAGGAGGGTTTTCCTTGGACTTCCCACGGGACGGAGAGCCCTGATTGCTCTTTGGGCTGACGAGGGAGGGGGACTTGATTGGGGGAGGGAAAGGGGAGGCGGAGGTGGGGAAGAGACAGAAATATTTAATAAATAAATAAAAAAAGAAAAAGAAAAAAATTAAAAAAAATTTTAAAAAGAGGGAAAATTGAATGAGACAATAGGTAGTTTAGTGTGAACTTACACTAATAAAATAACAGTGAGTAATAGTATATTGTTATAGATTCTTATATATTGACACAGTTCAAATTGTATTTGTTATATTGAATATGCTATTTCTATCTACAATATTTGTACACCTATGCAAAGTTATTTTGTCAGATTGCATGCATGCATGTTCCTACCTCTGTTTAAGACATTTTGTATATTGATACAATTTTTAGGATATAGTTATCATATTACATTATATATTTCTACCTCTGATCAAGATATTTATACATTGTTTACATTTTGAGGTCATTTTCCTCATTTACTGCACAGTTGTTTAAAGATTATTTAATATTTCTGATATGAAGTCTTAGTCTTTAAGTTATACAGGTATTAAGTATTATAGGTCAATAGTCAATCATGTTTCTTATCCTTATAGTCAGACTAATTAGGTTCTTTAGAGATATAGAGATTGTATTCTGCATAGATGGGTAATCTTCAACCACTTCACAGATTTGTAGAACATGGCATTTAAATAACTTAGGGTTCTGTTGACATGAGACATAATTGCTCCTAGCAACACCAATCTATTCCCGTGAATCAGCACACATGCATGTGCATATACGCAGACAAACAGATCTCATGTGTGTGCATATGCGCATGTATGCATGTGTGTGCATGCGTGTGTGTGGTGTGTTGTGCGTGCATGTGTGTGCAGGTGTGTATGTGCGTGTGTGTGTG